TATTATATTTACTCCTGGAGAAACGGAAAATTTAAAAACCTGAAAAGGGTTTCTGAGATTCTGAGGAACTGCGAGGCCCAGCCAACGAGGCTGAAACCCGGTGCGCACGTCACGCCGCAAGTGTCCAGGTACCCCTCAGACGGGGGGTGGGGGTGGGGGGGCAGGTTCCCAGTCCCCCTTTTGGGGGTTCAAATTGGAAGCGGAATTCTTAAACAAACCGGTCCTGAACCCGACATGGGATGACATGGGCTACATTGGCGAAACCCGTGTGGCCGGCCAAAGGGTATAAGGACACGCAACGAAGCGGACAGACTTGGCCATACCAAGGTGCCATGTCGCGGCAGCTGTGCCTGAACTTGGTGTCATCTAGAGACAAGTCCACGCAGCGGCGCCGCTGACAATGAGGAAGTGTTCCTCATCTGCTGTAGGCTCGGAAAGGCCCTTCCGAAACCGGCATGCGCTTGCAGCACAGTGCTTTGACTCGGGAGTAATCCCAGTGTTTCGGTCCCACCCTCAAAGTCCAAGCCACCGCGGAACTCCCCAGTTGGCAAGCACTCGAACTGCTCTGCGCCACCGGAGGAATACTCGAAGCCCTGCGAGGCGAGTGGCTGCAAGGGGCTGAAGGGCTAGTTGCTAACGTGTCGTGTAACTTACAAACATGTAAAACTCCCATCTTTGATGGTGTTTTTAGTAGACGGCAGTCATGTCTTCGGGAAGCTTCCGGCGCGTGAGACTGGCCATCGTGTTGTCTTTTCGATTTCTCATAGGACTGGCCTTCAACTCTGCGGCGTTTGCGAGCCTAGCTTGCTTGAAGGATCTGAATCTCTTTTGGATCGCAACTGGTCGGAGAACGACAGCCCATGTTGGCGGGAGCGGAAGCATACGAGTGGTGGCTCTGTCTGGCGTTGTAAGGACAAAGGAGACATCACATCGAAGGCTTGTATGCCCCAACTGACAGCTTTGTCTTCGTGCAACTGGTGGAACCATCCGTGCTCGTTACCTTGTGGCTCTGCTTGAGCTGACCCAGTGGAAACTGCGCCATTGTTGCATGTGTTCAGAAGAGAGACATGCGTGCCAACTCTCTAGCAGCAAGGTCCAGCCCAAAGCGGGAGCCTGACTCCCAGCATTCCCCTCAAGCGAACCCCCGATTCCGAGAGCCTCCTCTGTGCAGCTTGCTGTGCAGGTTTCACCCGTCCTGAGATCTGGTACTGCCGTACTCAGTTTCCATCGGTACCAAACTTCAAAAAGCGCCGAACCTAGGCCTCCTTTTGAACCTTTTTTGAAGCCTCCCAGAACCGCGATCCAGGCATCGTCGCATTGCTGCAATTGTGACGCAGCCCGACTGCGCCTCGAACGAGAAGAGCTTCGGGGGAGTTTGTTGAAGAATGTTGTAAACATCGAGGACCTTGTAGTGACTAAAATGTGCAGTCTGAATGTGAGCAAGTCGCTCGGGATGTTGTAGGAGCACACCAGCCCCGCACAAGCTGGGAGGACGCCTCAGCTGGGACAGGACCCAAACCGTCTTAACTTAGTCTCAACACGTCCACCCTCGACCTTCAAAAGTCGGAGCACCGATTGAATGCCTTTGAAGGATGTGTTCGTCTTTTCTTGGCGTGCTCGCAAGCTCTTCAACAAGGGGCATCGAAGCGGTTTCCGGAACGCTTCGACTCATTCAGCAATGGCACCACCGCTCAGGCCCCCGTTGTCGCAAACAAGAAGTGACGCCGATCCGTTCCTCGGCTCTGGTGCGCAGGTTTCCTGCGATGCCCTGCACCGCCGAACCTTCCAAAACCACACCCCGCTCCGTTTTTTATCGCCGACCTCAAACTCAGAACCCAATTAACACTTTCAAGGCGCATTTCCCAGCCCAAACTGCAGTGGACAATGCAGACCTCTCCGTGAGGTGTGGACAAACAGCCTCGGGTTCGCAGTGGCGAATTGCGTAGTTTTGATGCACGCTTAGACACGACTGCGAAACGTTGCTATAAATTCCAAAGCTATATGGCTGAAGTGGAAAGCGAGTTCCCGATCTTCTACAGGCGATGCCAGCGTCTCAGGGGCTACGTATCTTGCAGCACAGGCGACTGTGATCGTACTGCGGCATCGTCAGTCCATAGCTCTCCACAGCGGGTAGATCGCCTAAGCTGAAAGAGAAGTCGGAAGTTTGCATTTCGCAGCCAGAACTAGGATCGCCCACGTCGTAACCAGATTGCAGCTCTTCCTGCCTTCCTGCAATACCGAAAAAGCTGGCCATGCGCCCAGTACCTACCACCACCAAAGAGGCAGCCTCCAAGAGCACAAAAAGCGCCGTCCATGAGTTGCTCTTCGTGCCAAGTTGCATGCCGCTGTCAGGCGCCGCTGCCCGAGACGCCTCGCACTGCTGTTCTGGCAGGAGATGCCTGCCGATACCGGCCGGACCTGCCAAGTCTCAAGGGCCCGAAAGACCAAAAGAAGCGGCAAGTCTCTGGCAGATAGAGTGCGTGATATCTAATAAGGTTTTGCAACAGATGAGATGCATGGGGAGGGCGACATGACCGTCCAGCCAATGATGACTATGACTACTGGAGATTTTGCCAAGCGCGGGGGCCTCGATCACGCTGGCATCCTCGTCCGCGACACACAGATAAGGCTGCGGGTCCCCGGAATACCCGTTCCTGGGCTGGGAGAGGATGCATGGGAAAATGACAGAACTTGGAAAGCCCAGGAGCCTGCAGAAAGCCCAGCACTCGGCACCAATCCTTACAGTCGAAAGAGTCGGAAGGTGTTCCGGTGCATGCTGGTTGCATGTTACGACTGCTCCTTCCGGCTGGACTGCTTTGGCCGAGAAGCGTTTTGTTCTCGCAAGTGCTTCCAACGCTGGAGTCAAAGTTCGGCGAAGGGCACTTTGCAATTGTCACCTGCACCAAGGCACTTAACTTTCGAGGAGCCCGGTTCCCACCCCAAGTCCCACCCTGAACTTGAAAGAAAAAACATGTCGAGGAGTACAAGCAACTCAGGCGGGGAAAACAGCTCAGCCAAAACCGAGTTTTGGGGTTCGCGAAGATAAAGGACCCCTAAGAGAGGATCCCCTTCATAAGGTACCCCGAATATCGTAAAAGCCCCTATGTAACCTTTTTTTGGGCATGACTTCGAAGCCAGGTCTCTGGAGGCACGGTGCCGACAAACTGGCCGTCGACACCACACTGCAGCACAGGAGAGGGCCCCTCCAAGGTAAATCCAAAGGAGGCGTTCCTCAGCTTCTTGGGCGTCAGGAGCCTTCAGGACAGTACAAACGGGTGTGGACACAGATCCACATGAAGATCAAGCCCCAAGGCTCCAGGGCAAGGCAAACGTCACGACATCTCACCCTGGTGCCCCCCAACTGCTGCACAGCGACACTGTGCAGGTCTGAAGGGTCGTCTTGCCCAGGCAGTCGTGCTGAACACCCTGCATGGTAGGAAGGCCGATCCTGCCGTTCCAATTGCCCCAAGTCAAGCCGTTTGAAAGGGGTATTGGGACATGGGAGGTCTGGGAGGTTTACTTTGCAAGTATCCCATTTCTGCGTGGCTTCAGAAATCATAGGCACTTGCGATGGTCCGAGATCTTGAAATGTAGCCGCGAGAAGCATTCGTAGACATCTCTTCGCACTGCTACATGGATTACACCGCTACGCATTCCAGATTCCATGGGGCAAATTGCATGTGGTTCGGGTCAGCGACATGGAGCTGAAAAACACTTCCAATGAAACCCTCAAAGCCCTCTCAGTCCCGCAGGGGTTGCTGACGCAGGTCGGCCCAGGAAATGTCTCTGCGGGCATTTGACTCAACGACCTGGGCCAATCAAAATCGAGGGAGTTTAAGGAGTTTAGAAACTTGAGGTTCTAAGCTCTCTTACTGGGGTTAAGGCGTAGCTTTGGGCCTTTTCGGGCTTCAAGGCCTCCGAGGTTTCCGCTGTTTTGGGGGCTCCCTTCGGATGCCTGAAGATGCCTGAAGAACCTCTCCCAACGGGATGAAGACAACGGGGTGATGCCCCTCTCCTCTTTGACAGCTCGGCAGCTCCGTGTACCCGGCGCTGCTGTTGGGCGCATCGTCGCAGAGCATCAGAGTGGCCTCAGTTCAGAAGATGCCCTGCGCACGAATGTGTAATGCAGAGCATTCACGTTGGATGCGCAATCCGAACCGTGGAGCGTTCTCTCTCTCCCTCTCTCTCGCTCTCTCCTCCTCGCTCTACATGTGTTTTTCTTTACATATATATATGTATGTATGTCACCCCCCCTAGAATCTACCTTGTGCATGTACATTTGGAAGGTTATGATGCCATACCTGCGAGTAAGAGGATATTTGCTCACAGTATTCTCGCGTTCCCGGGGCTTAAAGGACATGCTTTTTTTGCATCAGCCTATGCGCTCGAATGCGTCCTGGTCTTCTGGTTCGAGGCCTGCCATCCCTCCTGTTCCATTTTCTGCATTTGAATATACAATGCATATACCCTATATGCGTACATGATGCGGGTACTTCTTATACTTTTCTGTGCATTTCCACAGGAGGCAAGCCCTACAGACTGTAAACATAGGCATAACCCTATGGGATTTAAGGTTTAGGGATTTAAGCCTCAAGCCCAAAAGGGTTGTAAGGTTCTAATCCTATAGGTCAAGGCCTAAACCTTAAACTCCACAGGGTTTAAACCCAAAGGGCTAACCCCGTCAAGGTTTAGAAAGCCTTTTCAACCCTGTAGGGTTTAAAGGTTGAACTGCCTAAACCTGAGGCTTAAATTCTAATACTTCAGATGCGCTTAGACCTAGCTCTGGACAGTAAAAGCTTCAGCGCCTATAGGGTTAGAGACTTTCAACCTTTAGAGCCCTATAGGGTTTTAGGGTTTCGACTCTCAAGTGTTTAGGGTTAAGGTTTGAAAGCCTAAACGTTAAACCCTTGAGGCTTAAACTCTATGGCTTAGGTGTAAGTGCCCAGTTCTTCAACCCTAGACCTTTAAACCTTAACCCCATCGGTTCAATCTTAATGGTTTAGGTTTAATTGCCGGCTTCAGTATAAATGCCTAAATCTTAACCCCTAAACCTTGGTTTAAATGTTAAGGGTTTAGGTTTAATTGCTTAACCTTGAAACTCTATAGGGCTGAAAGGTTTAGGGTTTAAGGTTGAATCCTACACCACACCCTTTTAGGCTCTCAGGCTTAGGGTACCTATAGTGTTTCGTGGCTTCTCTTTTCAAAACGGGAGCGGAGTGGAGGGGAGCGGAGTGGAGGGGAGCGGAGCGCAGCGGAGTGGAGGGGAGCGGAGCGCAGGGGGGGGGGGGGGGGGTTGGGGGTAGCAGAGGTCTTGGAGCCATGGAAGAACCCCCCCCCCCCCCCAACCCAACTGCTTATAAGCAACACAAACGCACACACACACACACACAAACAAAAAAACGAAAGACGATGGAAAAACTCTTGCGCGCCACCCTGAGGATATGAGAAATCGTAAATCCTCATCCTGTAGTCATTTAAATGCGAATAGGCAAGTGCCTATACGAAATGGTTACAGGCGTTTTGAAATGCATGCATCTTAAACCCCCACCCCCTAGAGGTAGATTCTCCAGGGGGGTACCATATACATATATATATATATACACAGACATGTCTGTAGCCTTGGAATACTTTTCCTAGAATAAGCGTTATTGGCAGCGGTTGGCACACAAACTGTCCAGGGAATGTTTCACAGCTTAAGCTTAATAGGGGCATTAAGCTTACTAGGGGCCTAAGTCTGAGAAAACAGTGGCTCTTATTTGCCATCATTTGCGGCTGCAGTGGCGTTGCCCTCAAGGGTCCAACCCAGCTCGCAGAAGACGGGGCAGAACTGACCGAAGGTCTGGCCAGAACAAGTGTCGGCGAACCTTGGCCAAGGCTGTCGGCTACGCATTTCGATGCAATGATCAATTTGCAGCTGGTGCTAGTGCACTGAGAACCGGCCGAATGCTTTCAGCGGAACTTTCTGGTCAACTTTCACTCGCCAAGCTTATGAGGCACCAGCAATTATGCTTTGCAGGATATTTGAGATTCACACGCTTCCTTTTCTTGGGCTGGTTCCGTTTAGGGGAGTCGCCTCGCTTCGTCGAAGGGGGACACCGTGGAGATGCTGGCGCAGGGCTTCGGAGAGCAGGAGAAGTTGCCTCAAACAGCCGCGCTTGACATACGAGACCAAAAGCACTAAACCCTAAACCCTAAACCCTAAACCCTAAACCCTAAACCCTAAACCCTAAACGCATCTCGCAACCCGCCTCGGAGGAAGCTTCCGTCACTCTGACAGGTCATCTCGGACGTCCCCACGGGAAAGAAGCCACGCTCGCAGGCCTTCGTGTCAGGAAGGCTCCAAACCAGCCTTCACCCTATGTAAACCCTCTTTGCACAGGCTTGTCTAAGCCCTAAGACTAAGACCCTAAACCCAACCCGGAACTGTGCCCCCCCAAGCCCTTTACCCTGTAAACCCTGTAAACCCTATAAACCCTGTATACCCAATAAACCCTATAAACCTCAATAAACCCTATAAACCCGTTTATAAATAATAAAGCCTATAATACACCCGATTATAAACCCTATTACAAACCCGATAAGCCCTAAACTCATATGCGGCCGAGGGTCCAGGCTGCAATTCTGCCCCGTCGTCGCACCCACGCAATCCTTGGACGTTTCGCCCCCTTCGAGTCGGGCAGAGAGGGACGCTTCTCGGAAAGAGCAAACCAGTGCGTTAAGCAGAAAGGGCCCGAAAGGCAAGGAGCTGCGGCTTAGGTTTTTATAGGGTTTATAGGGTTTATGGGGTTTACAGGGTTTACAGGGCTTAAGGTTTAGGGTGCAAAATGTGCAAACCACCCATGTCAACCCTAAGAGTTGACGAATCCATCTCTCCCTGCTGCGCTCGGCGAAAACCGAAAACCCAAGCAATCGGTGGCATGCTCCCCCTACTCAAGCTCATGAACGTCCCTCCCAAGAGCTCCCCCTACATTTGGCCGAAACCTGTGTGATCTTGAGCAGACCCTCTGTTGGAGAAGCCCCGTCCCCAGTGAATGGCCCCAGCACTAAGACGGCATCTGTCATGTTCACGCCGTTGCGGATTTGGAAGCCTGGCAAGTCGGGGAAGCCCGGATCAAGTTGCTAAGGGGAGGCATGCAAACACATCAGCCGATGAGGTGCACTGGCAACCCCAAGTGCTGTCCTGAAACTCGGAATTTGGATGAAGCCGAGGAGCCGAAGAGGGAGCAAGTGTTGGGTTGGCAAAAAGGCGTCGGTCCAGTCAGCGAACCGTCTAGGCATCGCAGCTGTGTGGGCGAACCTGGGCTGGGATGATCGCACACTCAGGTCAGCCGCGCTGGACGCCCGAGCGCATACTCATGGCTGCGGAACGTCAAGGCTCCTTAATGCGCTTGGACCCCTGCCCTGCGAAAACCGAGTTGTGAGCAGGGTCTTGAGGGGCACAAGTTTTCTGCAAGAAAGGGCAAGGGCCAACTGATTTCAGCTCAAGAAGCCAGTGTAGCCTTCCACGCATCGGGCAAAGCAACGATCGAGATGCTTTACCTTGCGGGCGATCAGGGGCCTATGTCACTCAGGCTGGTCTCATGTCCCAACCTCAGGCTCTCGACTTCATCCACTCTTGGACTGCATGATTCAGTTGCGTCCTGCGTTCGCAGATCCTTGATTCCCCTACTGCAGAGCACAGGGCCCTCTTGGACATTCTGTTTGGATTCCAGGGTACGCCCTGGCAGTCCGTTGAGAGCGCCGGGGACACGAGCGAGGAAGGGACGAGACAGGATTTCCTCTCACAGGACGGCGCCACGCCATCAAAGATCCCGTCCTCGGTGGTGACTGGGTGACTGGCGGATACAGTACTGCAAGACAGCAGAATCGTGAAGGCTCACAGACTACATGTGGGGGGTGCCAAACTCCCACCGGGTCCTATCCGAAAGCCCAAAACACTAAGCACCTAGATGCCAAGGACATGCTTCGTGTGGTACAAAGTGCAAAAACCCCTTGCAGCATCTGCCCGGCAGCGGTGCTTTCTGTGCAAGGACCTTTCGACAAGTTTTGGGATGCCCCTTTAAAAACCATCGGCAGAAGCTGACCATTGGGGTGCTCTGCGGCGTCGGCCCCTGATGCTCGGGGATCCCAACGTCGACCCAAGTGGGCCATCATGTTCCGGCTTGCTCCCAACTGCACGCTGATCTGACTAGAAACAAACGATGTGAGAAGCCAGTCCTGCACAGGAGTTGTGCTGCAAATTATTCTGGGCATCCCGACTAACACTCCGAAGACCCTGGCCAAAGCCTGTCTACCTCCACCCCACTGGCTTAGGACCTAAGCAGGAATCGGCGCACGCCAGAATCATCCAGGCGGCAAGGCCGCAGGAGAATGTGCTCGCAGCGCCTTCGTAGCCAAACTCGCAGGAGACCAAGCAGGAGCTCCCGGCGAAGGCGCCAATGCAATCGGAGATGTTAAGGCCCACCTGCCAGGAGCTCTCAAGTCTTTTGAAGTGCTTGGGGGGCCCGAGCCACTTGAAAACCATTGCACCTCTTGCGGGAGGAGGTTGGTGCCGCAAACCATGCGTTCACAAACAGGAGCCGAGCCCGAGAAGATGCCACTGGACTGGCCTGACTTCTCACTGCTCAACGTCTGAAACTCCCTTGGCCATCTTCGGGCCCACTTGCCTTTATCGGGGTTGGCTTGGGCTCTGCCAAGCGTGCGGCACTCTGCGCTCACTCCTAGTGGGATCTAGTGAAATGGGCCTGCTATTTAACCGAGTGCTCAGCCGAGCGGCAGAGGAAGACTTCTTCGTTAAACAGGTAACCGACGGGGCAGCGAACGAAACCTGGGCTGATGATGATGATGAGCTCCTAGGAGGATGAACAGAACAAAATTGTATTTCATTCATCATGGGAGGAGGAATGAAAGTCGTCAGGACAAAGAGGGCATAGACAAAACGCCACATCCTCAACGGGCCTTCGAGCGACTGGCATGCGTGAAGACTTTTCTGCTTCCGCACCCAGCCGAGACACACATACCTCCTACCAAGATATCGGGTTAAACGCAGGGATTCCTGAGAGCGAGAAATGCCCACACTTTCTGGTCTCTGGAGCAAGAGCGGCAAGCTTTTGCTGCAGCCCCGGTTGAAAAGGTCGGCCTGCAAGCCTAGAGTCTCTCCGCCAGCTGGCACGAGGTTTTGAATCTACACCCCTTCCGTTTCTTGACACAAACAAAGACGTTTAAAAAATGATAAACAAAGAAATAAATAAGTAAATAAATAAATACATATATACATATATACATATATACATATATATATATATATTAACGTTGTTATCTCGAAGCCAACAGTTCAGGAGTTGAAGGGTCTTGACATTTCGCCGCAACAATCCATGTCCAAGTCGCCGCTCAGCATACTCACTACTGAGCTAAGGACGCTACAACGCGCGATAGAGAGGCTGTGCAAAGGGCATACGAGGCACACATGGGTCACAAACCACACTCTGCATCATCAGGCACTGGAGAGCGCTGTTATCATGCCAAGCACGCTCTGTCAATCTCTTTGCCGGCCAGAAGCAAAACCTGTAAAGCTCGGTGTTGGCGCAGTCGGTCGTGTCGAAGGGGCCACTGGGGAGACTCTCCTTCTCAAGTTACCGGCCAGAGACTGCTGCAAACTTTCAGGACCACACACAGACACACCTTCCACGGGCCCATCTACGCGTGGCACACCCTTATCACAGGCCCTCAGAAGCTTCGATTCCAGAAGTGGCCCGTCGCCCTTCTTCCCGTTCGGCTCCTCTCCGCATGTCGGCACAAAGCATTCCAGCCCAGGTCCATTAAAGAAAGCGTCCGGATTGCAGACGTACTCCTGAGCGAACGGGGGTGGCAGGTGAGAGGCAGAATTCCGACATCATCTGGCTTCCGAACCACCAAAAGTGCCCCTGTCTTCGGCCAAAAATCCACGGGCCCACCCTCGAAGCCAACGTCGCCTTGGTGGAAGGGATGGTTGCGAAGCCAAAGCCAACGGGAAATGCGGTTCGGAACATTTTGCAAGTGTGAACTGCACCCCGCCCCTCCTCGCACCCACGGCGGGCCACAAGGCCCTGAGAAACGACAATGAGTGCTAGTACCAGGTGGTTTGAAACGAAGGCTGCAATGAGTCGATTACAAGCACATCTCAGCGTCAAGGCACACGACACTTCACACCTTTGGCCGATGACCTTGCCCTCGCAGTCAGTGCTAATGATGCCTGGCACAAGGGGAGTGTGACTGATGACTGCTTCCTGGCATTCGGTGTTAAAGCCTCGGGAGCATTGGTGCATGTTAAATCGTAGGTCGCAACAATGAGCACTGTAATCACTGTAATGAGACACGATATCACTATGCTTCGGATAGCGTAGCAGAGCTGCCGGCTTGAGCTTCAACGCGCTTCAGTAAAGACAGATGCCGACTCTTTTGGAGCCTAAACCCTTTTGCAACTGGACTGCGGACGACTGCCAGGAAAGGATGCCACCTAAACCCTGAACCCTAAACCCATGACTCCCACATCGCAGTTCCAACGGATATCTTGCCTCGGCCGTTGGGCAAGCCTCCGACGCACTCCCTCGTACAAAACGGAAGTGGACCTGCAACGCGCCAGGCTTGAATCTAACAGTCTGGAACTCGAGACAAACCGCTTGCCAAAAAAAAATGCTCGGAGAAGCCCTTTCTCTGACCCCCGAGCTTGCTTCTTCCTGCCCCTGTTGCGCCTTCGAAGAATTCGGTGGGACCACAGGTCAGGGTGGTGGCATTGGGATCGTACCCTTCGGCACAAACCACTACCTCAGTGCTCCATTGAAGTGTAAAAAACCTATACAGGCTTGTGTGCCTATAGAAGCCCCAGCACTTCGTGAACTTGCGTCCCAGGGTGAAGAATTCGGTTGGGAAGGCCCTGGCGTTCGGCCACTTAACCTACTGGCATCCTCAACCATGCCGGTGAGCGCTGGCTGCCAGCCAAGCTACGCAGGTCTCACCTCGGCAGCACGGGCTGAAGTGGAGTCACCCACCCACGCGCATATGGTGCATGCCGCTCTCTATCCGCTAGGCTACACTCATGACGTACCCTCATGAGCCTCAATCCCGCTCATACCTTCGATCTCTGCATTGTCAAGTCGCCAGGCTTTTTGGATAGGCAGTCCAGCGCATTTTGTGTGGCATCCGTCAGCGGCAAAGGGCAGGTTCCAGGAAGGACCGTGTGTGTAAACGTCCTGGTCGTGAATGTCGCGGTAACCTGAAGTGGGAAGCACAGCAATTTCAAGCGCAAACCCCCTGACAGACTTGAACCTGTTTAAAATCTGCCAGGGCAGAACCGAATCGGGGCGAGTCTTGGGGCCAATCTTTTTGCCACGAAGCCGTCGTGACGGTCCTTGGTAGAAGCGGCGGCCCGGGCACCAGCCCCTCTTGTGGGCTAGGGTGCTGTTTTTGACCCGCTGACTAAGATCGGAAAGTGGGTGCTGCTATTTGACCCCTACACTCCCCAAGCGAACGTGATGCAAGCTGTACGGGAAGTGGTGCATGGGCTCGGTCCCAAAAGGTCTTTCTACGCCGTGGGGTCATGCCCACGACAGTCCGTGCAAAATCAGAACTGATGGAGCTTCAGCTCACTGGCGCTACTTCCCAATTTGACCAGCACCGATACCGATGCCCCAGGTGAGGTTCAATGCCTCGCATGATTCAGCCTTCCTACAAGCTAACTACTTCCAGTCCTCCGGCATTCCCGCCGAGGCTCGTGGCTGTTGTTGTCGTTGTGTCAGTACTCGACGTGGTGGATGTAACCTCAAATACCAGCTTGCAAAATACCAGTTGCATCGGGAGCTGGCAGCTGCTTTGGGAACAAAGCGCTAGGGGCCAAGACCCTGTCTCTACTACTCACTTGTCGAACAAGCAGCAGATACAGAAGCTGTCGTGCTCGACGTGGAAGATGTAACAGTGCTGGAAGTTGTAGTACTTGAGGATGAAGTAACTGAGGTTGTAGTGCTTGTGCTTGTAGCGCTGGTGCTTGTAGTACCTGTGCTTGTTGTGCTTGTGCTTGAGGTTCTCGAAGTGGTTGTGCTGGTCTGCACACCTGGGCGGGCAATTAACGAACTGAGGAGAGATCCCGCTGAAAAGGTGAAACCAGGGGCCCAAACCAGCTTGAACAAGAGTTCGTGCTTTGCAGCGACTATCGAAGCTCTCGGGCTTTAACTCCAGAGCCTGTGTCACATCTTGGTCTACATAAGAACTGCTGCATTTCATCTGCACCCTACGTGCCCAACACACTCGAAACTCGGGATTTGGTCAGCTGCGAGATGCATGCGCCACGCCTCAGACTCCCTGTGTCTTATTGCTATTCCACTTCAGTCAAAGGGGTGTTGCTTTAAAAATTTAGCGATTGCTTTGTTCAAGGAGGATGCTCCCAAAAGCTCCGCAAGTTCAACCCCGCTAGCACTGTTTCTCGGGGCTTGAAGCGGGATGGCGAGCCAGTGATATGAAGCAGGGTTTATATTCCTTTGCATCCCCAACAGGACGCCCAAGATATACACTCACCAATATTAACAAGGAACCTTGTTATAACAGTACTATAAAGCCTGTTTCATATGAGGCCCTGGCGGTAGTAGATTGGCAGCAGCGGTCCGGGAAGAGTTTTGTTCCCCTGTGCGACGCAAAATTGTCGACATCTTCTGAGCAGGGTATCCGTCTAGCGTCATGTTGCCCCCTGATGTAGTCTTGCTACCTGCTAGTACGCGAACTCTGACAACAAAATCTTCCACAACCCCTACTGTTTAAAGGTTTGCCCGGAAGAATGGAAGTTCTGAGTCAGGGGTCCTGAAACTTCAAGGCAGCCCTTTTCGGGCTTGATCTGAACGAAAGCTCCTTTGAGGGAGCTTTCGTAATTAGCTAGGGCTATATCCAGTCGGTTAAGAGCTTCTTTCGGGTACAAACCTGGTTCTGTTCTCACTCTAAAACGTCCAGAGAAGCTTTTGTTGGCCTCTTGAATGAATTTTCCGAGACTGGAAACCAGCAGCGGCTGTGACAAGAAAAGAGCATCGACACCGGGTCATCGAAACAAAACGGACACGACAAGTAATGGATCATAAAATCGGAACTTGTAGTTGATATTTTCTGAAATGTAACGATGGGCCAGACATTGAAAATTAATCAGTAGTTCATGGAAAACCAGAACGGGAACTAGTACTGTACTAGGAACAGCAACTTGCTTGGAGCGAATGTCATAAAACCTGCTGGCAGGCATTCACCTCGCCCTGCGCTGTCCAATGCTGGCACGAGGACAAGGTTCACTGACTGCTTTATCCAGGTACACTTCTCAGCAACAAACCCCGCCAGTCGGCCTGAGTCGTGTCACAAAGGCCCTTTTTCTTTGTATCTACCCTGCCTGGATGGGCACAATGAGGAAAGCCGCTGAAACCTTGGCAGCGACTTCGCCAGTGGCCATGCAACTCGCTAATGGGTTGGAAAGACAAAACGAAGGAAGAGGAAGTAGTCGCTCCACTGGGACAAAGAAGCCGCTGCACACAAGAGTTTACAGGCTTTCCCGATAGTGCTCACACATTCAGCACGTCTCTGAAGCTACTTTCGTAGCAACAAGCTACAAGACGAACAGAAACATCAGCAAATAACAGTTGATGCTGGAACTTGAAGCTTAAGATCTGGATCTTAAGCTTGACATGGTCCAGCACATGCTGACGGTCATTGTCGCTGCTGTGACCGGACAAGCTACAGGGACGGCACAATCCTTCCATCCCTCCTGTGAAGTGAAAGGCCCATCAACCGCTTCTGAGAACCCAGCCGTTGGCACGACCAGGCCACTTAGATGCAAACCATACCACGAGGGATGGCAACCTCTGGATGCTTGGCAAAGCCGAGCAAAACGGCGCGTGCAAATCCATGTTCTCTGACTATTTCTTTCGGTCTTATGTTTCTTCCTGTCACTCCTCCTCCTCTTCTTCTGGGCATGAGGGTGCCCTTCCCTGACCCAGTCGTGCCCTCTCTCTCCCTCTCTACTCTCTACTCTCTCTGTGTACATATACACACCTTTACATCAATACAATATATCATCCCTGATGTATGCGTGTGTTGTTGAAAGCATGTAAAACTAACCTACAACTAAAAAAAGATACGTATAGAGGTATGTAGGTATATATATATATATATATACATCTGAATTTGTGCAAGAGCATATGCATGCATGTATGTATGTATGCAATCCAATGTACCGGATGTATGCACGCAGGCGCGAAGGCACGAATGGTTGCATGTATGCATGCATGTATGTATGTAGCTGTTCCTCCCGAGCCCATGGGTTGCCTGGAAGTTTTTTGCTGTTGGCCAGGATTACATGCTCCGGTGCAACCCTGAGCATGACCAGGCCAGGACACATTCCAGCATCTCTGCTGTCCATACCTGGGAGCATTTCGAAACGGCCAGTCAAAGGCAAACAACGCATCCTAGCGGATCGAACACTCTTGGCCAAAAGGTACGTGCAGCTTCGCCTCAACACTGCAGTAGGCTGGTGATGCTGTGTGGAGGTGCCGCTGCAGGCTACACAGGATGGGGGTCCTCTTGCCTTTTTGACAGTGCCTTCCTTTCCACAGGTGCATGCGGGGATGGGCATCGGGGCAAGCATCAAAACAGCAAGCGCATGCAATTGCTGAATGACTCGTAATCCTTGAGCACAAGACTTAGAGGGGAGAGGAATGGATGTGTCTTTGATTTCTTTGCCCGGGACAGGCCTGGAAAGTTGGGACCGCCCCAACCATCTCGATCTTCTCACCACAGCTGTCGACGACCCAAACCTTCCGCGCAGTGGCTCAAAAGAATTCAAGGGTTCTTGGGGATCTGACATCTTGTTGGAACAAGCACCCCGCTGGAGGGTCCTGAAGCTTCTGACAGGAGCTGGGTGCCTTGGGAACAGCTGACATGCCACGCTCGGTCTACCTCCTCCCGAAAAGCCGCTCCTCGTAGCCGTCGATGACGGACTCGTCCACTGAACAAGAGGAGTTCGGGGCCCAGCGAATTTCACCTAGCGAAGCAGCAAAGACAGCACCTTCCAACTTGCAACCGCCGCCAAGAATTCCGCCGACCCTCCAAGACTTGCAAGAATCCAGTTCCGCTAGCGCTACAGTAGAAACTTCTACGAAACGAAGTGCTTTGGAACTTTTTGGAGCGCGGAATTGCGTGCTTTGGAACAAGTTAATCTCTGAACCCGATGCCCAGTTTTTGAGCGCAGGTGCGGGCCTTGCATCTGATACCCAGTGCTTCCCCAGTCCTGCAGGGAACCGTAATGCTGAAGTTTCTTGCGGCCGAGCGTCCGGTTCTGCAGTAAAAGCCAAAAAGGACATGTGCGCACATGATCCCGGAACAAACAGACATGCGTTAGAATGCTTACAAGTACACACATATACATATACATATACATATACATATACATATACATATACATATACATATACATATACATATACACATACATATACATATACATATACATGTACATGTACATGTACATGTACATATACATATACAGATACACACACATACATATACATGCACATGTACATATACATGTACATATACATGTACTGTACATATACATACACACACACACACACACACACACACACATTCCCATGCGACGAGAGAGAACGTCCCTTCCTTCAACATCGCGAGCCCTGTCATTAGGCCTTCTTTACTCTGCTTTGCCACTGCTTGCCTCATGCATCAGGCTGATTGGGGGTGATTGGCCCCGCTTTGCTTCTTGGCCAACAAGATCCGCATCTCACACCAGCAAAGACAGATTGCTCCTGCGCAGCGATCGTGGCACACACCCTGCATGCAGGCTGTGGCTGGCCAGGCATCACCTTCAGGGACCCCGAAACACCATGACGTTCGGTTATGGTCGTAATACTCGGCTGCAGTGGTTCCGGAAGATGCTGGCCGGAGGTAGACAAACGCTTCACCCTTCAGTCTCTCCGTTTGTGTTTATCAGCCCCTTCTTCGATTGGGACCTCACACCTGAATGAACTTGAAACCCAGCAACGCACGGGAAAGTGTCAAAACCCTCTGCCCACACTCAGTGCCTCCACCTCTACTGGGCAGAGGAGCCCCTCAGCGCCACCCTGGTCCTTATGCAGTGCGCTTCGTCAAGTCTTGTCAGTGCCCCTCTCTCTCTCTGTCTCTCCCTCTCTCTCTGGCTTGCTTTCTTGCTTTTTGTCTTTTTGTCCTTCTTTCTTTCTTTCTTTCTGCGCACCTCGCCCCTCCCCATTGGAAGGGGCCGCCCGAAGGCCTGCGTTTATCCCTCCTTCTCTCACACTCTCACTCTCTCTCTCTCTCTCTGTCTCTGGCTCTCCTCTCTCTCTCTCACTCTCACTCTCACTCTCTCTCTTCCTCTTCCTCTTCCTCTTCCTCTTCCTCTTCCTCTTCCTCTTCCTCTTCCTCTTCCTCTTCTTCTTCTTCTTCTTCTTCTTCTTCTTCTTCTGCTGCTGGGCTTAAGGGCCCGAAAGCCCCGCGCGCGTGGGCCCAACGTCCAGTCTCAAGTGAAACCCCCTGACGAGACGCTGAGAGGGTGCACAGCTTGCCCCCCCAAAACTCTCTCTCTCTCTCTCCCTCTCTCTCTCTCTCTCTCTCTCTCTCTCTCTCTCTCTCTCTATCTCTTGGATCTCTTACTCCTGCGCTGGGGCTGTTCAACACACGGATCCGGCCAAAGCTCGCATTGTCCATGGCCAGTCGGATTGGTCGCGCTCGGCGCAACGCACCTTGGCGTGCGATCCCAATGAAGCAGACTCATCAGACCACTTCAATGCACTCCAAAACAGCATGCCAACACCACTCCAATCCGAGACCACTATAAGAGCACTCCAAGATGACCCAACAAAAAAAGTCTGTCGCATACTCCTAGACCACAAAAGGACGCCAGTGCCACTTCAAGAGCACTGCCGAAGCCAGAAATAGCGCCCCAGTCTGGACTCCACAAGGAGCAGGCGCACGCCGGAGCGCCGGTTGCAACACCGATATGCGAAAATCCCCGCCCGTGCAGCAGCACATGCGTCCCTGCCACATTCAATCGACCCCCGACATGGGACGGTGAAAGCCTCAAAAAGCGCACGCGTGCCCGCCACGAGCCCAAAAGGATGCTAATTGAAATGTTTGGAGGACGCCTCTCGCCTGAAATGCATGTGGTGCGCGGGCACGTAGGGCGTATGAGCTTCACAGGCATGTGTTCATCGCGGTACGAAGAGTTGACACCATGTCTCTTCTAACCCCTCACAGAGATACAGACGCCTGCCAGGATTTGAGATGATTGAGAGTTAGGTTTTGGGTTTAGGGATTCATTTTCGCAATGCAGAAGACCGGCGTGCATGGTTTGAAGGGCCACCCTTGTTCACGCTGTGTTGGCTGTCCCGACGCAGTAATCTGCAGTAAGGATAATTAGCTTGAGCCACTCATGACTCGTCAAGCTGAAGCGGAAAAGGATCCAAAGGTAAGACTGGGGTAGACAGATCTGGCCTGTGTTTATTCCGGCTCACTTTTGGCTCAAAGCTCAAAGAACACTAGCTAGTCTCTATGCGAGGATGGGCTGAAGTGCCATCAAGTAGCGTGTCACCCGTTTGGCCAGCCTCAGATGCTAAGCGTCCAAAAGCGAGACATGGCTTCAAGAGCAACCAAGCAGCCTGGCAGATCGTCGATGCCTGAAAGGCTAGGCTGTGAGCTGCGGTGGTAGGATGGTTGGGCCAATTCCGGGAGGCGATGTGTTTAGAGTTTAGGGTTTAGGGCTTAGAATCCCAGCCTCAGCTGTCGGTGCCAGCAAATTCGGCGGTGCCAACAACGGAGGGAGAAAAGTGGTCACGGCCTGCAGAAGTGTGTTTTTGTGCTGTTGCGATTTACGATATGGGGTTTACGAAAGTAGGGGACCCCACAAATAGTAGGATCTCCTTATATAAGGACCCCAATAAGGTACCCCTACTTTCGGAAATCCCATAACCCTAAACCCTAAACCCTAAACCCTAAACCCTCAACCCTAACTCATCACCCAACAAGGTAGCCCCAATATCGTAAAACCCCCATGTCGAAACCTCGGGCCCAGAAGCTGCAAGTCGAAGCTTCGGAGCAAGACCCCGTTGGCACCCCTTGTTTGGGGTTTCGGGTTTAGGGTTTAGGGTTTTTTCCCACCCGTGTCGCAAGCGTTTGGGGTTTAGGGTTTAGGGTTTGGGGTTTGGGGTTTAGGGTTTAGGGTTTGGGGTTTAGGGTTTGGGTTTTTTTTTCCCACCCGTTTCGCAAGCGTATACGGGGAAGAGGTCGGGCATAGCAAACGCCTAAGTTCGGGTTAAAGTAAGCTTCTAGTCTGTGTCGGGAGCATCTGCAGACAGCCTTCGGAGTTCACTCTCCCCAACAACAACAGCATCAACAATGGCATACATTCCTCATGCTAAACCCCAAACCCAGACAACCCCCAAGACCACAAGGAACTTACTCCGAAGCAGCCATCCCCGGAACTCCCGACACTTGATCTGCGTCTGGCCGGAGAAAAGCCACGGTGTGTAAACCAAGTTGCATTAACAAGGTAGGATGCTTGTCAAACCTCCCCGCCCACGCCGGCATACCTGTCGAAACAGGGGTGGGACAGTGGAGTGGCGTAGCACATTTCCGGAGGGTCTACAGCGGGTGCCAAACCGCCGCAGGGCGTTAATTCGCCTGTCTCAGCGTAAGGAGGTGGGCTTTACCTGCCCGATGGATTAGCCCTTGCTCAAGGGGCGTACCACCATTCCTCCACCCTCCGCCCTCAGTCTGATCCTACTACGAGGTCCGCTCCTCTTCGACCAAGGGGGCTTTCGCGCGCTATTCGCTGGCAAACGAGACCGCGGCTCATCAGAAGGCCGGTCTGACTCCAGTATAGCGCGTCCTGGAATTCACGCACGCTGGTTGCGCTACTATGTCATTAGTTAGCCACAGGCGGAAGACGAGCGGCTCGGTGACTCGTCCTGGGCTCTCCAACCGAGTGTTGGCTTCACCCGGTCATCAACCTTACTATCCTACTATCGTGGTGCGGTCTGACAAAGTCAGACCGGTGGCAAAATTGCCACGTATCTCTGCACCAGATCTTGGACAGATCCTAGGTCGTCTCCTGATGCTCCTTCAAAGGCATCTATCAAGTTGACCAATTCGCTGGCGGCCAATCGCGTTTCAGATGCTAAAGCATCTAAGATGCCGCGGTGCAGTGAAGGAGAGGTGTACCCTTGGGCCCTGTTCGTGAGATGGGCATGCACTGCACTCAATGTGCTCTCGAGGTTGTTGTCCGCTACCATATGTATAAGTTTCAGCTCCCACCACTCGTACTTCCTCTTCACTGTGATCAATCTATCATCTTCGATCCTCTTCTGGTAGTAGCGATAGATCATTGAATAGAAAGCGAACTGTCATGGGCACTGCTCACATATAGCCATAATCGAGAGCATTTTTGTTGCGGCAGCTTTGAAGATCGAATGGGTCTGTGACGTTGAACGTCACTGTCGCTGCCGAGAATGTCTTGCGGAGCTTGGAAAGCTGCGCATCACTTTTCCGTCATCAAGGGGTACGAAAATTCTACTCGTGAACTCCATTCTGGCTGTCGGGTCAATCAATTTTTCCGCACTGACCCGGCCAGTTCTGTCTTGGGGTTCCAAACTCATCCCACTGATGGTGTATAGGATGGCTGTCACCACACCCAAGACTTTACGGCAAGACTTGCCGTTCATATCACGAGTTTGGAACTTCTGAATAAAAGACCATTTATACCCCTTGAGCCGGTCGTCTCCCTCGCCATTGATAAATTCCGACTCTGGCTTGGAGACTGATTGCCCCTTAGAGACACGCACTATGGTTTTGGCTGCGTACTGTGCCTTCCACGTCACATACTCGATGATCTGCTTAATGTATGTTTGATCCTCAAGCATAGTGGGTAGGCTCTCCGCGACCTCCTCAAGCGTTTCCCCCCGCCAATCCCAGATCATGAAAATCGCCTCAGCAATGTAATCGATGGTCCGGTCCATGAACCAACTGATCACATAATTGCCCACGGACGTCAGACTGTCGCCTGAGTAGCGAATCATGATTTCCGTCAACAAGGTGATTGTGTCGAAGAGCACAACGTCTTTCTTTTCCACCTTGTTTTTGCCGAGTTTTTGTAGTCGGCAGAGTCTGGAAACTTTTGAGCTACTGAGTTCATGAGCGCTTCTTCGACTATCCTGCGTATGCCCGGTTTCTTGGGGTCTGCTGTGCATTTATCCGTCACTGAGGAGTCAAAACTTCCAAAATCTGTGGAAGCGAATCCTCCGGATGAATACTCAGCATGAAATGCCCTGATCCTTTCGCATACGCCTGTGTTGTCTGTGCCTTTTATGCTCCTCAGAACAAAATAAGGCAGTCGGAAAAAGCACTCCTCAATAGTTTTGTTCATGAGTGCGGTCATTGCAGAGCCCTTAGGCCCTGCATGTTGGATGAGTCTTGGCTTCACTTTGCCCAACGTCTCGTTGGGCTTGACGAATCCCTTAACCACTGGTGCTTTCGGCATCTCGCACCCTGACGTGGCTTCGAAATTGTCTCGAACCATCTGTTCTGTGAAACTACTAGGCGCTATGTCCGCAATGCTTTTGTGTAGCGGGAACAATGTTTTGCCATGGAGCTCCGACACGATTTCGCTGGGAGGGATCTCCATACAGGATGCATCGATACGCCGTATTTCTGACTCAATTATGTTCATGATCGTCGGCACTACTTCTTCGACAACAGCGTATAAGCATCTCCTGATGATCTCCCATGGATTCCCAATTTGGTTCTTAATGTGAACTTTGCCATACTCTACCTCGGCATACTTTTCGGCATAGTGTCGGTTACCTATGCCTGCCAAGACATTGTCGTGGGTGTTGGTGGCTACGAAGATGGACCGCATGTCCACTTCAGTCACCCCAGGCATGGACACCCTTGCCTTGGCTGTAACGCCGTGTTGTTCTAAGAGGGCATCGTCAATGATGCACAACTTCGCCTCGCTCTCTAAAGCAGCCAAGGCTTCTGTTTTGCGACCCATATCCTTTCGCAGGTCAACTTTGTCCCAGTCAACTATTACCCGGACACCCTGCATGGGTTTCCCGGGGTCAGCTGTAGTGTGTGGGACTAGCGGCGCCCCTGGTTCTATGAACCTTGATGCCTCACCGGGATCGGAGCTTCCCGATGGTTTTGACAACTCCACCGCGTCCGCAGTCGTGGAGGAGGCCGGCGCACCGGCCTGAGGCGCCGCTGGCGGCCCGGTCACACTAAGACCGGTTGGGGTGTAGGTGACAAAACGAACGTCACCCCCGAGTGTCATTAACTCCGCTCGTACAGCATGGGCTAAGTAAGCCTGATAGCTGTATTGCTTGTCGAGCTCAGGGTCGTCCACCAGAGAGGAATGCGTAAGATTGATGTTCGCTAGCATCCGACGTGCCTTCTCGCGATCAGAGCACACAACATGTTGTGCCCTATGCAAGAGTTTGTGGTGATACTTTTCCTCTTTGTAGATGGGCCTGTCTCCGACAACAAAATGGCGGATGGTGCATCTCGTGCATCTATGAGCAAATGCATGTGCCTGCACAAATCGCTCTTCGTTCTCATACGGAACGTAGGTGAACCCCGTCGGGAGACAGTAATGACAGATCCCGCCTTGACGGGCTGCCATCAGTTCACCTATCTGAGAGCGACTCGACAGTCTGGCTGCAATTTCCCATTGGGAAAGCACATGAAATGTAAAGCACCCGGCATCCCAAATCAGACGTCGGATACCGAAAGAAGCATCCCCGGTTGGGGAATTCCTGTGCCTAAATAAGATAAAATAGTACACCAGGCGGCACTCAAATAAACTACATGAATTACACCTGTTGCGTGCATGGCGACTAGGTCGGCTACTATGAAAGTAGTGTCAACTACGGCCACTCCAACGGTTTCAACCCAGTCAAGGAAGGAGTGCATTGCCTCGACAAGGGACGGGGTACTCACTTCAACAGGTCCGAAGGCATGAGTTCGATGTGCGCGTGCATCATCACCTTGGCTGGCTCGTGCTTCCAGAGCACCAGCTGCCTCCTCACATCTTCGTCTGACCGGATCCCATAAAAGGGATGTGCAGGCATGCAGACTGTGCCGAAAGCATTGAGAACAGACGGTGAGTTCTCCAAGTCCGCGGATGGCGCTTCCGATAAGGTTTCGGCACGTGCTGCCATATTCCTCAAGGTCATCCATGCCCTGGTCGTAAGCCCGTACAGTTTCCGTTTCCCCGTGGGGTTCTTCGTGGTCGGCACCGTAGGCAAAAGAGCCAGTACCGTCGGCCACGTGTCTGAAAGAAGCCCACCCAGCTCCTTCCAACCCGCCGTTGAAGTCAACCTGCGGTAGTGCTCCACTTTGGCTCCACCGAACAAAGTCGACCAAGAGTTGCAACCATGAAGGAGAACCGCTGCTCCCCTCCAGTATGGTGATGTGCATTCTGGGCTGAACTGGCCCATCCGCAGTGCTTCCAACGTCAACTCTCCGAAAGCTTCCTTGTCCCCATACTCTCCGGCAATCTGGAAGAGGCGGTCCTCGTCCACCACCTCCTCTGCCATGTAGTAAATGAGGGGCATATTCAGCTCCAAGAGCACCGTCTCGAGCTCCCTGTCGTCGGGGAACGCTCGCTGCACGCGGCGATGAGTTTTGAGATCGCTCATGATGCATCCGAGTCGGGACGCTATGAGCGCGGGTTCGCATGCTGCTTTCATGGTATCGTGGATCGTCTGTGCCGTGTCCATCTTGGCTCAGAGTCTCCGTGGTGGAACTTGATTGCGTGGACCGCAGTGATTGTTCTACCACAAATGTCGTGCGCTATTGCTGATTGGAGTACCTTGAGCCAAAATGGCTACGGGGTTTAGGGTTTAGGGTTTAGGGAACTGTGAAGAACTGATAAAACCTCACCAGAAAACCAGGGCCAGTCTTGGGGGATGCCTCGGCTCCTGGAGAGTGACAGCTGTCGTGGGTCTAGTCTTGATGTTGATGTCACAGTATCGACATCCAACAGGGTTTAGGGTTTAGGGTTTAGGGTTTAGGGTCTAGGGTTTAGGGCTCTTGACAGCATCTCAATCATCTGCACAATTTATAATAATTCACACTAATTGTTTTGGATTTTCCGTCGTCGCTAAATCTAAGCCCGATACCTTTATTCTGCTTTTGCGTCGCAGCTAAATCTCGCTAATTTGGTTCCGTCGCACACCAAAAGAACAACAGGCAGGAAACTCAACCCCCAAGCGAATGAGCCACCCAAGCGAATTAGCTGCCGATTCATTCTAAACGAAGTAGCTGCTACTTCGTTCGGTTCGCAGTTTAGCCTCCTAGCACCAGCAAAATCAAACCAAGCGAATTAGCTGCTATTTCATTCGGTTCACCCCACCACCCCCCCCCCCCCCCCCCCCGGCAAACTCAACCCCCAAGCGAATGAGCCACCCAAGCGAATTAGCTGCCGATTCATTCTAAACGAATTAGCTGCTAGTTCGTTCGGTTCGCAGTTTAGCCTCCTAGCACCAGCAAAATCAAACCAAGCGAATTAGCTGCTATTTCGTTCGGTTCACCCCCACCCCCCCCCCCCCCCCGCCTCCACCGACCGCCGCTTGCTGGGCAAGCTTGGGTTCATTGTAGTGCCAAACCAGCAGAAAACAAAACCAAGCGAAATAGTTGCTAATTCGTTCGGTTACAGTTTAGCCTCGTAGCACCAGCTAAACTCAAACCAAACGAATTAGCTGCTAATTCGTTCGGTTCACTCCCCCGCCCCACTTGGACCGCCGCTTGCTCCAACACCCCTGAACACAGGCGGGTTCACGCAGGAATTTGCTAAGTAGCCGCTAATGCGCGAGCGAGCTAATTCGCGTTTTTGGGAGGGGATTGGGAGGGGGATTCGAAACGCGAACCTTCGATTCTGAAGTCAACGCCTTGCCCGTGTCGCTACAGAGGAAGTGGCACATTTAACGCACACTGCCTAATGACCTTGAATCACATGGCCCCAACCCAAACAATTGTACACAACCACAAACGAATTAGCCGCTAATTCGTCCGAACCCCCTACAAATGGAATTCGCGAATTTGTCGCTAATTCACCAATTCGCTCCCCGCTCCCCAAACCCAAAATTGAACCCCCCTTCGCCCCCCTGCCCCCCCCCCCCCCCCCCCAACCCCCCCCCCCCCAACCCTCCCCCCCCCAACCCTCCCCCCTCCCCCCCCCTACCCTCCCCCCCTACCCCCACACTCCCCAAACCCCAAAAATTGCTAATTCCAAGTTGCGGCTAGTTCCCCCCCACCCCTCCAACACCCCCCTTCAAGGACGCTTCGAGGTTTAGGGTTCAGGGTATGTGCTTGTCAGGCTTATTTCCTGCTATTCATTTTCCGTCGTTGCGTCGCTAATGTTCTTAATTTCATTTTTTCCATCGTTTCCATCGCAATAATTTGGGCAGAATCATATATGATGCTCTCAGAAAGGGAGTTTTGGGCTGCAGCCTCAGCGGGTGCGAAGGCTGCATCTGCAGCACGCACGGGTACACCGCCGAAGAAGAGCCGACCTGGCCCAACAAAAATCACTTAAGATCATACACACTCTCCTTCATTCGGTCGACGGGTCCGAGGCTTCGGCATTGTATTGAAGGCGTCGTTGTGCTGGTGGTGGAGGTTTCGCTCCGGGTCACGGAGGTGCTGGTCCTGAAGAAAAGAAACAACCTGCAGACGGTCACATGCCAGAAAGCATCCGAAAGCCCACAGCTCCCCCAATCCATGCCACACTGCTTGCATCTGCCCTCGCTCTGAGTCCAAGCTCCTGGTCTTGGTCGTCGTTGTGGAGGTCCTGCTCGTCGTTGAAGTCCTGACAGCAGGGTGTGCCATGCGTGCAGTGGAGCCTTGCAGGGTTCTCGCGTGTTCCGAAGATTTGCACCTGCTCCATCTAGGGTCTCGTGCAAGGCGACGGCTACAGCATGCTAGGCGAAACATGCGGGAAGCTGAAAGTGGCGCTCACCGCTGAACCTGACGATGCTCCTGCTTGTTGTCGTGCTTGTTGATGTCGACGTGGTTGAACTTCGGGTAGATGTAGATGTTGAGGAGCTCGTCGACATCGTTGTACTTGTGGTCGATGCACTGGTTGTGCTTGTCGTGCTGGATGTAGTGCCGGAGGAACTCGAAGCCGTGCTTGTGGACGAAGATGTGCTGGTGCTCGAGCTGCTTGCGCTCGAGCTGCTGGTCGTCGTCCTGCTGGTGCTGCTCGTGCTCGTGGAGCTCGTCGTTAAACTGCTTGTGCTCGAGATGGTTGTGCTGGAGTCGGTTGTGCTGGAGCTGGTCGTGCTGGTGCTGCTTGTGCTGGAGCTTCTTGTGTTGGTGCTGCTCGTGCTGGAGCTGCTGGTGCTTGAGCTCGTTGTGCTAAAGGTCGTTGTGCTGGAGATCGTTGAGGTCGAGCCGCTTGTGGTCGAGCTGCTTGTTGTTGTGCTTGTGCTTGTTGTGTACGAGCTGCTTGTGCTCGAGCTTGTTGTGCTGGAGCTGGTCGTGCTCGAGCTGCTTGCGCTTGTGCTGGTAGTCCTAGAGCTCGTCGTGCTCGTGCTACTTGTGCTCGTGCCGGTTGTGCTGGAGCTGGTTTTGCTCGTGCTGCTTGTGCTCGAGCTGCTTGTGCCAGTGCTGCTTGTGCTCGAGAAGCTTGTGCTGGTGCTGGTCGGGCTCGTGCTGGTAGTGCTAGAGCTTGTCGAGCTCGTGCTGCCTGTGCTCGAGATCGTTGTGCTGGAGCTGATCGAACTGGAGCTGCCTGTGCTCGTACTGGTTGTGCTGGAGCTCGTTGTGCTCCCGCTAGTTGTGCTCGAACTGGTGCTGCTCGAGACGGTCGTGCTCGCGGTGTTGGTGCTCGTGCTGCTTGTGCTCGAGGTGCTGGTCGTTGCGCTTTTGCTGCTAGAACTTGTTGTGGTTGTACTGGTTGGGCTCGTGGTGCTTGTTCGTGTGCTTGTCGTGCTCAAGCTGCTTGTGCTTGAGGTGATCGTGCTCGAAGATGTCGCGCTATTGCTGGTTGTGCTCGTGCTGCTTCTGCTGAAACTGGTCGTGCTGGATTCGGTCGTGCTCGTGCTGCGCGTGCTCGAGCTGGTTGCGCTGGAGCTGGCTGTGCTCGTACTGCTCGCGCTCGAGCTGGTCGAGCTGCGTGTGCTTGTAATCGTCGTCGTCGTGAAATCAGTGCTGCTTGTTGTGGTTATAGTGACTGTACTTGTACCGGTTGTGCTCGAGATGGTTGTGCTGGAGTCGGTTGTGCTGGAGCTGGTCGTGCTGGTGATGCTTGTGCTCGAGCTTCTTGTGCTGGTACTGCTGGTGGTCGAGCTGCTTATGCTGGAGCTAGATGTTATCGAGCTGCTTGTGCTAGACCTTGTTGTGCTAGAGCTCACTGTGCTGGAGCTTGTTGAGGTCGACCTGCTTGTGCTACTTGTGATCGTGCTGGTGAGGCTCGTGGTGCTTGTTCGTGTGCTTGTCGTGCTCAAGCTGCTTGTGCTTGAGGTGATCGTGCTCGAAGATGTCGCGCTATTGCTGGTTGTGCTCGTGCTGCTTCTGCTGAAACTGGTCGTGCTGGATTCGGTCGTGCTCGTGCTGCGCGTGCTCGAGCTGGTTGCGCTGGAGCTGGCTGTGCTCGTACTGCTCGCGCTCGAGCTTGTTGTGCTCGAGCTGGTTGAACTCGTGTGTGTTGTGCTGGAGCTAATTGTGCTCGAGCTCGTGATGCTGGTGCTTGTCGTGCTCGTGGTGCTGGTGGTGGAGCTGGTTGCACTTGTGCTGCTTGTGCTCGAGCTGGTGGTGCTCGAGCTGCTTGTGCTTGAGGTGGTGGTGCTCAAAGTAGTTGTGCTGGAGCTTGTTGTCCTCGAAGTGCTTGTTGACGTAGTGGATGTGCTGCTGCTGCTTGTTTGGCTGGTTGAAGTTTGAGTGGTACTGCTGGTGGTGCGGCTTGTGCTTGTGCTGGATGTCGTGCTGCTTGAGCTCGTGGTTGTGGATGTTGTCGTCGTGCTTGTTGAAGAAGTAGTCGTGCTGGTGGCACTTGTGCTGCTGCTACTTGTACTAGTGCTCGTCGCACTTGTGCTTGTCGTTGTCGTGCTTGTAGTGCTTGACGTAGTCGTGCTGCTTGATGTTGTGACGGTCGTTCTGGTGCTTGTTGTAAATGTGCTGGTAGTCCAGGTGTAAGTAGTCCAAGTAATTGTGGTATATGTTGTGTCTGTGCTGCTGGTCCAAGTGGCTGTTGTCCTTGTTGAAGTGGTTCTTGTGGAAGTTGTGGTGCTGACGCTTGTGGTGGTGATGGTTATGGTGCTTGTTGTGCTGGAACTGGTCGAAGTCGAACTAGACGATGTTGATGAGGATGACGACGAGGAGGTTGCCGTTGTGGAGCTTGATGTCCTGAATATGGGGGATTTTGCAGAACGCTCGACTGTAGCATGGCGACTACTGCAACGCCATTCGCTGAACATAACAACTGCCCCAAGCGGTACTTTGCACAACACTGAAATTGGTGGCAGGGTCCCGACCTTGTGGTCGACGACGAGGAAGTGGAGGTAGTTGAGCTGGTGGTTCTTGTTGTGCTGCTGCTGGTCTTCGTGCTTGTTGACGTGCTGGTGCTGCTCGCGGAAGTACTAGTAGTTGAGCTAGAAGAAAAAGTCGTTGAGCTTGATGTGGTAGAAGTTCTAGTGCTCGTGGTCGTGGATGTACTCGTAGTGGTGGTGATGGTTGTGGACGTGGTGCTGGTGCTAACGGTGGTGCTGCTAGTGCCGGTTGAGGTACTGGTGGAGGTCGTTGCGGTGGAGCTCGATGTGGTGATACTTGTGCTGGTCGATATTGTGGAGCTGGCCGTGGTTGATGTGGTGCTGGATATGGTCGACGAGGATGTGCCGCTTGTGGATGTCGATGAGCGTGACGTGGAACTACAGGTTTTCACTCTATCTATGTAGCTGACAAGACCATACTCATGACTCACAAAGTGTGCTCAATAATTCAATAGTGGCATATATATATATATATATAGAGATGTATTTGTGTGCAAACTGTGCAGGGACTTGCTACGCGGCAGGTTCGCTCTCACTTTCCATTCCCGGGCCTTGTTGCTGTCGAAGAAGTACTTTTAGAGGTTGTGCTTGAAGATGTGCCGCTGGTGGACGTGCTTGATCTACTTGTGGACGTTGTAGGTGTCGTCGTGCTAGTCATGCTAGTTGATATGCTGGTGCTGCTTGTTGACGAGGTGCTTGTTAATGAAATGCTTGTTGATGACAATGTCGTGCTGCCGGTTGATGTAAATGTCCTGAATCATTGAACCGTTGAATCAAGCACCCTGGCAGTGAGACAAGGAGCACAAGAGAGCACAGTCCCAAATCACGAGCCTCAACCATCTTACTTGCTACCAATAGCACACCGAAGCCGAGCTCTTGTCCTGGAAGTGCTTGCGGTGGTGGAAGTGGTGCGACTGCTTGAGGTGCTGAGAGACCTTCACTGCTTCATGGCGTCGCATGTCGGATCTTGCACAGCCCTGAAAAACTGAAAGCTGCAGAAGCATCTGAAAATGCTTGTGAGACCCCCTAAATAAAGCCGGCGAAGACACGTGGTGCTTGACATAGTGATACTTGAGACAGTGGCGCTTGAGGTGGTGCTGGTCGAAGTCATACTTCTGGATGTTGAAGTTACCGTCACTGCCGTGCTAGTAGCAGTTGCTGTTGCAGTCCTTGTCGATGTGCCGGAAGTTGTACTCAGAAACGTTGTCGAAGATGTGGCTGATGTGGTTACAGTGGAGGTTTTTGTGGTGGTCACTGTTTGACTCACAGAGCTGCTGCTGCTTGTGGACGTTTCTGAGCTGGTCTGGCTGGAGCTTGTCCTGCTCACAGTATGGGAGGTGCTTGTCGAAGTAGCTGTAGCTGTGGAAGAGGTTGCTGTTCGGCTTGTACTGGTTCTGGAAATTGTGGTCGTGATTGTTGCAGTCGTGATGGTACCTGTGAAACTGGTGGTGCTAGTCTTGGTCATGGACGTGGTCCTGGTCGATGTTTCGCTGGTGCTTGTTGCTGTTCGTGTCAGTGTTGTGCGTGTGTTGGTTTGGCTTGTCGTCGTTCTGCTAACGGTCACGGTAGTGCTGAAGGTGGTCGTACCTGTGGCAGTATGCGACACGGTAGAGGTGGTGCTGCGGCTGGTGGAAATGCTGGTGCTCCCCGTAGTGGTACTTGTTACTGTGCTCGACGTGGTGATGCTTGTGCTTGTTTTGCTGGTAGTGCTGGTCCGTGAAGTTGATGTCGTTGTGCCGCTAGTCATGCTGCTTGTCACTGTTGTGGATGTGCTTGTGTGGCTGGTAGTGGAGGTTATCGTCGAGGATCGGCTTGTGCTGCTGGTGGTAGTGGTGGCCGTGATTGTTGAAGTCATGGTGGTACTGGTAGAGCTGGTGGTGCTCGTCTCAGTCCTGGACGTGGTGCTGCTCGAAATCGTGCTGGTGCTTGTCACTGTTCCTGTCAGAGTTGTGGATGTGCGGGTTTGGCTTGTGGTAGTGGTGGTTCTGCTTGTGGTCACGGTGGAGCTGATGGTTGTGGTACTTGTCGTATCACTTCTTGTGCTGGTGAAAGTTGAAGTGGTGCTGCGGCTTGTTGTGGCGCTGGTGCTAGCCGTAGTGCTGCTTGTTTCTGTGCTTGTGCTGGTGATGCTAGTTGTCTCCGTCGCAGTGCTGGTGCTAGTCTTGCTGGCAGTGGTGCTGGTGGAGGTGACGGTCCTAGTAGTACCTGTCGTGGTGGTCGTCTTGCTGCTTGTGCTAGTTGCAGTTGTTGAAGTGCCCGATGAAGTGCTCGATACACTCGTACTGGCTGTGGATGTGGAAGTGAAGGTGCGAGTTGTGCTGGACGTGCTCACCTTGGTTACGCATCCTAGCATGCGCTGCTGCGGAATTCACCCAGTGTCCTTGCGCTTGGACAAAGAAATCGAGCACAGGCAAGAATTTCTCTCACTGTGTTGTCTTTCGGCCCAGTCACTGTGGTAGTTGTCGACGAAGTTGCCGAAGAACTTGTCGTCGTGGTCGTCTGGGTGCTCGTCCTGCCGGGGCCAACAAGCGACACAAAAGCGTCCCGGTGCACACCTACACCTCTTCAATGGAAGCTCACATCGGTCTCGCGCAGGGGAAGAAATAAGCAAAGCCGGGTAGATGTCTGATAAACGGCTACTTGCAGTGAGTACCTGCGACACCTCACAAGCTGCGTTCAGAAAACTTCCTGGATTTGAATAAGGATGGCACGTGTTCAACTATTTGCGAATCTCTGAGCATCGTAAGCTGCACAGGAATACCAACCTCCTTCGATGGAGCTCCGGTGGCTCGAGGGGGTCTTGACATTGGCACCACTCTGGCCGAAAACATCCAATTCTAAAGCCTCGTAACATCTAGTAACGGCGACTTTAATCAGCTCAAAGCAGCTGCGACTTGCGAGCATCCAGCTTTAGCGTACACCCCGCACCGACTTCCTGGATTTCACCTCGACACGTCCTGTCAACTAAACTACTTCTCCTTGTCCGGCTCGATGTCTGGGAAGTAGATGTCACTGTCGAAACAGTGGTGGTAATGGACGATGCAGTACCTTCTTTGAGATCCCTACACAGGGTCAAGCTTGCAAAAACAAGCTATTTTTATCATGACCGGCACATGAGTTTTAGGCAGCTATAGGCAATTTTTGAAAGATGCGTTGCCGGCTCAAGGGCCGCAAGAGATGTTTGGGCGGCAAACTAAGGCTAAGCTCGCGCGATCTCACGCAGCAAGCGTACACAGAATGTCATTGCAAAGGGCACGCGTTGTCGAAGTTGTTGTCGTGCTTGTGGTGCCTCGGCTGATTGTTGGGTCACTGGCCAAGCATTGCTGCCAACCGTCTCCATAGTTGTCCTGCTTCCGCCCATAAACAACACACCTCCTTTAGCGCTACACCTACTCCGATTCTTTCTTGTTTCTTATTTGTAGCGAGCAATGACAGCAATCGAAGAATATTGAACTAGAAATTGCGTTGCTCATGTGTTTGGCATGGTTTATAACCGGGAATCTCGAAGTGGCTGACCCCGGTCACATCATGAATACTACAAAGTTCCATGGCCAATGCTGCCTGCGAGGGGCACTCGTCGAGTGGCACATCACGTACGAGCACGCCACCGTCGAATAGGCAATCGCGAGTGAGACTGACCTGCATGCACACAAGTGCTTTCAATGCGGAACAAGTTATGAGATTATTGTGTGGCAAGTACAACCAACCAATTTTCTGAACTTGCCACCCGCTTGAGTTTTTTTCCGAAGATTGCCAATTACCGAAGATTGCTAAAAACTGCCGAACGCAGCCAATCTTAAAACTTCACGCTGTTGAAAACAGGCAGGGAGGACGTAGGCGCATTGGTCGCAGAGGGCGATTCTGAGGGCTGTCAGCAGGATGAACTTTCCTGTCGACATGCGCAGCACCCCAAGACCCCAACTCATTTCCTTTTTTACAGGGCCCAGCAGGAATTCCGCCAGTTCCATGAAGGAACTGCCGGATATCATCATGTTGCACTGACCGCAATGCGTACAGGAAGCTTGTACATCCTCAAGCTCCGATGGGATTGCAAAGGCACCTTGGGAAATCATCTCTGTTGCTGGCGACGCGGCATGGCGAAGACTCTTAAGTCTTGTAAGCCTTCTAAGATTACAACTGGATGCTAAAACACACATCATACTTTAGGGATTAAGGCGCTTAATTCTGCGAGTGCGGCAGTGATGGCAGTGGGCTGCATCACCGATATAAAGAAATCGGCTCGGAACTAAGTAAAACTGGAGCCTGGAACCCCCACAGCACTGGTTAATGACACATGACTGACAACATTACATGGCAGGCATGCTCCCGAAATCACTGTTCTTCTTGGTTGCGTTCTTCTTGACCGCATCTTTTCCCGCAAGCGGTCCCCGCATGCATCAAACTCAGCCCCCCAGCCGTGGCGGCCTTCTGCACATTTCCGCACCACAGGCATGAGGGTGGACGCTGCATCGGAAAGAGTCGCCGCAAGCCACATGCCGGCATGCTGACCGGACTGGGACTGGACGAGGGCGCGAGCAGGCGGGGTCAAGGCTGGCACCATCTGGCGTTCTCGAGCAATGCGAGAACGGCATGTCGCTGCCAGCCAGGCAACGGGCCACGACCTTTGGAACAGCGGGTGGCTCAACTCTCGAAGGCGGTTGGTTTGCTTCCGACAAGTGGGGCAGGCAGCACAATTAGCGGTCGCGGCTCACGCCCGCAAGCCGAGTCCACCAAAGCGCAGGGCTAGCTGCGCAGCTCGTGCAGTCTCCGGCGGCAGCACAGCCTCCACGCGGTCGAGAAGGCAGCGGAGCATGCTGCATACCAGGCTGCAACGGCAAGGGGCAGAGATCACCGATACCTCGTTATTATGATAAATGTAGGAAATGAAGCGCCTGCCCGATTTCTAAAACGCTTGGCTTTGGCTTGCT